AAAAAACACTCAAGAGTAAGGGTTAGACTCACACCACTCATGTTTAGCTCACTGTTGGATAGGTGAGGGTCCCTTCATGTACAATGAAGAGAGTTCATGGGATGGACTGGGGTGAAAATAAACTTAGCTAACACAGTCCCTTAGTTTAACATGGAACCTGGTATCTGATGGTCCTAAGCAAATGATAGTACTCTACATGTGCAGATTCAGAGAATTCCATTAACTACCCCATGCTCTTACCAACAACACCAACTGAGGAGATGGGCCTCGCCGATGCTGTTGTCCAGGATGCTCCAGAGGGAGTTGACCACTTACATGCCTCCCTTTCAGCAAAGAAAGCATATTGCAGGGCTCTAGCCTGCCCTGATTGCTGAAGGTACATAAACAACTCCTGCTCTTTCTTGATGCCCTCTTCATAGGGATACTGCACAGCAGCCTGGACTGCGCGGACACAAGCCTCTGGAGCAAGTTGCCCCGGGTACTTCTTCTGCACCTGCAAGAAGGCCTCACTGAAAATGGTGTCCATGTAGGGCACGATCTGAATTGGCTTGTTGTAGAGTCTACGGGATTCTAGGGGTTGATCTGAAAAAAGTAAGAAAAATCAGAGCTTTGGAAATGTCACTTGTACAAAGAGAATATGAGTATTTAACAATAGCAACAACAATAACTTGTTCAAATTCAAAGCACAAAATTACATGCTATTCATCAATATATTTAATGTAACAACAAAATCTCTGACATACTTTCAACTTAGTACCTAGAAGATAGAATTTAACAGAGCAAATCAATTTTAAGTTACCTCATTTGGGCCTAGAAGTTGCATTTTCTTTTTATTTCAAGGCCAAGACAATATTATAATAGGTTAAATATTAATCTGTTGATATGTCTAAGGAAAACATTTCTCAGTTAATATTTTAGATTCAAAATAATTTTAACTCCATTCCCAATAGTAACAAAAACTAGATACCTGGAAAAGAAGACATTGTGATATATATGCAAGGATAGCTATACATATCAATGGAAGATAATTCAGAGTTCATAGACAAATCTTTAAAAGTATAGCCAACAAATTTTCAACACAGGTGCCAAAATAATTCAATTGAGGAAAAGACAGTCTTTTTAACAAAACAGTGCTGGATAACATTGGATGTCCACATGCAGAAAAAAAAAAGAGCAAACTTAGATCCTTTCCTAGTACCATATATAAGAATTAACTTGAAATGGATCATAAATCTAAATTGAAGAACTAAAACTATAAAAACTTTTAGAAGAAACTATAGAAAAATCTTCATGACCTTGGGTTAGGTAAAGTGTCCTTAGACACAACACCTTGATCCATAAAAGAAAAAAATTAGTAAATTAGACATCATAAAAATTAAAGAATTTTGTGCTTCTAAGGATACCATTAAGAAAGGGAAATGACAATCCATATACTGGGAGAAAATATGTGCAGTAGGCAGAATAATGGCCCCTCTAAATGTCCATGTCCTAATCCCCAGAACCTGTGACTGTATTGTCTCATATGGTAAAAGGATTTTACAGGTGTCCTTAAGATTAAAGACCTTGTAATGGGGAGGTTACCCTGTACAAGTCCTTAAAAGCAGAGTACTCTTCCTGACTGTGGTGAGAGAGATTTGACAGTGAAGAGGGTTAGAGAGATATAACATGCAGAGGACCTGAGCTTTGAATTGGGAAAGGGGCCCAAGAACAAAATAATGCAGTAGACTGTAGAAGCTAGAAGCAACCCTCAGTTTACAAATGTCAAAAACATGGGGACATTGGTCCTATGATGCAAAATACTGTTTTCTGCCAACAACACAAGTGAGCAGGAAACAGACTCTCGTAGAGAGCCTCCAGCAAAGAGTGCAGTAGCTGACACCCAA